GAAAATATTGCTATTTGTGAACATGTTCCTCTCATCACCTTGAAACCACTTTGCCCAACAAGGTGGACTGTTCGAAATACTGCAATAATAGCTGTGCTACAGCAGTATAAGAGAGTACTCGACAGCCTAGAGGAGATGGCCAAAAGCTCATTGAAGACTGCCTCTACTGCCAGTGGCTTATTTCAGCACTTTACCAAAGGGAAGACTGTGTTGGGACTCACACTTGCGTCTGCTGTTGTTGCAGAGCTAGAATGCCTGAATGTTTCACTGCAGAAGAAAATCCAAACTGTCTCTGGTATGCTGGATGCTGTCAATCACGTGAGGACTTATCTTAAGGGAAAGAGAGATGATGAGAGCTACCTTGCACTGTACAAGAAAGCTACAACATTGGTTGACTCTATAGAATCCATTGAGCCCATCCAGGCGGCAAACCGTGTCACTGGGAAAGCAGTGGATTACTACAGGGCAGAGTTCTTCAAAGTGTTGGACAGCATTGATGTTCAGTTTGCAGAACGCTTTGACCAGGAAAGTCTAAATATTCTGGTAAAGGTTGAAAGTGCCCTCCTCACTGGAGAATTAGATGACTGTTTAGATCAGTATCCTGAGCTAAACAGAGCTTCCCTCGCTGTGCAGTTGCCTCTCTTCCAGAACAAATACCCATGTACCAGTATTGGGGAGGCTGCAGGGATTCTCAGAGGACTCCCAGTTGAGGTACGGGGCTTGTTTGATCAGGTAGAGGTTCTTATCAGGATTTTGATGGTGGTGCCTGTGTCGTCGTGTGAAGCGGAAAGGAGTTTCAGTACATTGCGTCGGCTAAAAACTTGGTTACGGGCAACTATGAACCAAAACAGACTTAATCTAGTTGTCTGTAATGTCCACAAAGAGAGATTGGACATGCTGAACATAGACACGATCTGCCAGGAATTTGTTGGATGTAGTGACACCAGAAGGAGTACATTTGGTTCCTTTGTTTAGAGAAGTGGTACTTTTGTGACATGGAAATGTCTCTGTTCGACAGACACTTTACTGTAGTTTTTTACAAATAGGCAGAGTCTTGCATATAAATCTCCATTATTAAGACAAACAGCTAAATGTGCACCAGGTATGTTCTTCGCAATAAAAGACTCCACTGCTGGGTGGAAGAATATTCTCTTCACTGACTAAACCTATCAAATACTGAAGTTTCGATTTGTGTTCTAGTGACTTATTTCTCATTGTGTTCATATTTACACAGAAAGGAAGGTTAGATAACTGTTTAAAAAAATAGAAAGCTTCAGAACATTTTACACTCGCCTGCCACGTGGTCAACGATCAGTCAGACCCCCTATGAGAGGTTCTGTTGCTCCAGCAGGATTGGAGTCAGCTTCAAACTTAAATAACTAAAAAAGGAAGTGCTGTGGTTATAAGTGATGTCAACTAATTCTAACTAGCATATTATCATTAGTATCCAAGCAATCAGTACGACAAGTTAGTCAAAGTTCAAGAATAAGTTAAAATGCCAGTACTAGTTAGCATGCAAATGCTTACTAGCATGGTAATGGTGGCCAGCATATTATTAATAGCTAGGAAGTAAGCAGTATGAAAAGGTAAGCAAATAAGCAATGAACTAAAATGATAGCATGATGATGCTAGCTAAATCCTAGCATATTTAGTATCCAACAAATGAAAAAGATACCATACTATGAGTGTATTTTGTGAAATTTATTCCATTTGGCTCACAACTGATAGATTTACATTTTGGCTCTATAAATGAAAAAGTTAGGGTACCCCTGGTTAAAGGGATTGTTTTATTAAATCTTCGTTGTTAAGTTATAAGTCAAACAAACAAGGGCTGTTCATTTTTAAATTGCCATAACTGTTAATATACTTGTAAGTAGGCCTAATCTATGCTGCATTTTTACTTGTTGACACAACACTATAATAAAAATTTTCGCATTTTTGAAGTAGTTTGTTGTTATTATTAGCTTTGAAAGTGTTTCCGTAATAATGTTGGAACTTCTTCATGCTTACATTTTTGTAAATCTACTTTGACTGTAGTGGAAATTAAGACATTTTGTTGAATGTGGTCATAAAGGCATCAATTCATAACATTATTTAACATGCTGAAGGCAAACTGTGCAAAACAAGTTGCAAAGAAGCAGGAGAGAGCATTTTTTTTCATGTCCCCCCCAAAAATTACTCTCTGAGATTTTACTGTTTATTGTCCCCCCCAAAATTGAAATGGGATTTCCGCCCC